ACTATGAAACTATGCTTGGATAAGTCTGATAAAGCAATTACTTCCGTCTTATTCCGGATTATCATTATCCAAAATCAACCAACATGAATCTCTCTGTTTCTCATTCACACACACACACACACACACACACACACACACACACACACACACACACACACACACACACACACACAAAACAAACTTTATATATTGGATATATATATGTTTGTGCATGATATGTGTGTATACTAACACCTATAAACATGCACACACACAGACACACATATATATACACACACACACATATATATATATATATATATATATATATATATATATATATATATATATATATATATATATATATATAGTAAAGGTAAGAAATCCATTGGTGTATAATGCAAGTGGATCCTAGTAATAAAAATGTTAAATGCGATCCACAAAAAAAGCTCAGTGTATTTATTATTACAGACCAAATAATTAATAAACAATAAAATCCAAAATCACCTCATGTGTGAATTAGCCTATTTCGGCAGTGTGTATATATATATATATATATATATATATATATATATATATATATATATATATATATGTATTTTTGTGTTTGACATGTATATATACACGCACACACACACACAAGCACGCATCTTTTCCTTTCTTATTTCTCTTTCATTCTTTTTCTCGCTCACGCTTTATATATATATATATATATATACTGCTCTTTATTTCCAGCTGGCGTAGTTACATATTTGTTATGGTTAACAATGGTCGATGTATCTGGTCAATAAATGGCTTTTGTCATGCAGATTTTCACGGCATTTGGTGGATTCTTTTTGGCCCTGACTAAAATTGTTGTGAGGAAATTTTCTTCTATGATTTCAACCTTGGACACCCGAAGTAACTTATCTAAGCTGACAATAGACACATGAAAATGTAAACAAAAGGAACACTTTCTGGGACTCATAACGAGGAAAGAGGGCTTGGAGAATCTGACACGCACATGAAACATTGAAAACATGATGAACAGCGAGAAACACCGAGTAACCTATTAACGAAAGGATATCCGAACACGGGCTAGGAGAGAGAGAATGGAGATAATTATTACTTATAGCTACAAATGTCAGGAAGTTGTGGTGAGCTTTGAAAATACAAGTCGTGAAAGAAATCGGTAACGAATATATATATATATATATATATATATATATATATATATATAGTCGTATAGAGTCGCATCGTGATTCCTCACCTGATGGAACGTTAAAGCGTTCGTTTTTTTTAACGTTGAAACAAGTTGTACAGGTTTGTAGTGGGTATGTGCATGTTTTAATGTAACACTGCATGATAAATAAATATTTATTGCTCTACTTTTGTATTGAGCTATGTTTTAAGTTAATGTTTTGAACGCTGAAATCTTACTCTCCGTTCTTTTACATTTGTATATATATATATATATATATATATATATATATATATATATATATATATATATATATATAATAAAAAAAGGCTTAACACTAATATTCCATGGTCATAATTTATTCCATTGGAATCGTAAATACGATCCAATTCATCAGACCTACAAATCCAAAAAGAAAACAGAAAAAAACCAACTCCGGAAATAAAAACAGAATTTAGAGAAAGTGTAAGTATGAGGAGGAGGGAGATTAAACTTAACAGAGAGGATTTTAGGAGAGGTGGGTGGAAGGGGTTTAAGTAAGAGAAAAATGAATGTTGTCGGATGTCTAATGCATAAAGATACATTTCGTTGTGACATACCCACACCATAGACAATCTAATGTTAGAATAAGAGGAGGGAAAGACGAGGGGAGAGAGAGATGGGACGAAGGATGTATGTATATTTTCCACTAATTTATCTATATATATATATATATATATATATATATATATATATATATATATATATATATATATATATATATCTTCTATGTTCCTCGTTCCTTGAGAACTTCGTATGTCGTATGACTCTTACCAGTTTTGCTTTCTTTGCTAAGGCCCGCGAATATCCCGTCCCACCATTCCTTCAGGCAAACTCCACAAGTAAGTGGTTTCAAGCCTTCTTCTATCACCCTGGCTTCAATATGCCCCATGGTTGTTGCGTTTTATTATTTCAAACGTTATTTTTAGTGGATACCCGGATTTTGTTTTAGATGATCCATTCATTGTAAATAGTTATTATTTCAGTGTGTAGCTCGGTAGACGAAATACATACTCAATAAAATAAACAGAACGTCGACTCAATTGCAAGTATTAGCTAAAACAATATATATATATATATATATATATATATATATATATATATATATATATATATATATATATAGGCCGAGTGATTAGAAAGTTAGCTTTCTGACGATGAGTCCCGGGTTTGAATCTCACCATGGTGGATTTGTCAGGAAGGAGACGTCCTAATGTTATCGAAATGGATCGATGTCTATCCCAGCGTGCGAGATCTTTGGAAAGTGCCTGAAAACCATACCACGGGTTAACCTAAGCCTTGTGATTGAAATTGTTTTAGACGGAACTCTTGAGGGCCGTTGATAGCTGTGCAAGCCGTGGGCTTGAGCCTGCTAGCCTTTGTTTAAATTGTTTATCATGCTATATAACATGTTCTCTCCCAGAAACAAAGGGTTGTTCACCATAGATGCAGTATAAACCACAGGTGGGCTCTGTATGCGTTGCGAAAACACAAATGGGCCTGAGCGAGCGTTTGAAATAGGGATTGGCTAGCCGCCCTAGTATACGGGTATCCTTGAAAACGTGTGGCCAGCTATATATATATATACTTGCCGAATTACCCTCGCCTTGTTGAGTGTCAAGCATTTTGTTTTTAAGAAAATGATGATTGATTTTTAAATCATTGTTATAATTTCTAGAGAAAAATGATGCATTTCAATATGACTCAGTGTGACCTCCATCTTCTGGATTTATCCTTCTATATTTTGGATAGAAGTGATTCCCTTGTTTAAATTTAATCTATATCAAAGGAAAAAAAACAGTGGGTTGATTTTGCAGTCGGAGACCCCTTTGGTAATGTAGTTTCAGAATATATTTGGTTATGTGAATCTATCTTCCAAACACTAGAGGGAGTTTGATAACAAGCAAACAGACAGACAGAGGCTACAACTTTATATATATAGATAAATGGGTGAGTGAGTATGTATGTGTGTGGGGGGATTAAAATATACTTTCATTGATGTTAGTAAAAAAAATGTGATATTTACCTGTTAGTTCTCAATTATGCATAAAAAATGTGTCAGTTTTCAAGTTTGGAAAAGGAATTTAATTCTTTGGTTTTCTATTACAATTTCCGTTGCAGCTGACGAATATTTCTAGAGAAATTTCTAGGCTGCCTTTCAGCCATTGAATCATATGGATAGATAGATAGATAGATAGACAGACAGATAGACAGACAGACAGACTCGCATACAGATTGGTTTGTAGAAAGATAGAGCAAGAAAGACATAAATACAGGCAGATAAATAGTTAAAGCTAGATGGATAGACAGATCGACAGACAGAAGTGCGAACAGACACATAGATATATAAATACAAAAGTACTGACAGATGGCGATGCAACAATTACATACGTAAAAAGATAGACGGAAAGATAGACTGATAGAGAGAGAGAGAGAGAGAGAGAGAGAGAGAGAGAAGCAAACAGACAGACAAATACAAAACAAGCAGAAAAATGGCGGGCTTATAGTTAAGCTAGTGATCAGATAATTTATATATATATATATATATATATATATATATATATATATATATATATATATGACGATCGCTAAAGCGTGAAACCCAGGGTCACAAACTCACATCTATCCAACCAAATATGTTAGCTCTATCTCTGATATTGAGCGCTTTCTAATAAGTACCGCGCATATAATATATAAATAATTACACATACTTATATTTATTTATATTTATATACACTTTTCACACACACACACACACATACATATATATATATATATATATATATATATATATATATATATATATATATATATGTTAGGTCTGTTTCATTGAATGGTTTACACAAGTTTTGTGTACATATTTTCAATGAGATCCTTTCGCATTCACGCTCAAGCTTCTTAGTATCCTTATTAAAGGAAGAAAGAAAGTTACTATGTTTATGCATATTCATTTATTTGGAGTACATTCGACATTGCCATAATGTCATCATCAGGGTGTTTTTTCCAAGCTTTCCTTATTAAGCATACTAAGAAGCTTGTCCGTGAATATTGGAAGATCCTATTCAAAATACAAAATGAAAATGAAAAACAAGTAAAATAAATTAACTCAAATAAATAAATAAATAAACAATCAAGCAAACCCCGCAAAAATAAACGCCAGAATAGATTACCTACAATGCACCACTGACCCATATATATAAATAGTCGAGGAAAAATCCAACATTCGCGGCCTGATGATTGCGTCTAGCGTGAAACATCCTGTCGCCTCTGAGTGTTGACTTCAGTGTTCACTGTTACATTTATATTTACATAAGCTCTATGTCTGATATTAATCTCTTTCTTCCATAAATATAGCTCACCTTAAAACTATATTTCTTTATATATATATATATATTTCGATTTAAAAAGTAATCGCATGTCTATCCACACTGATGAGCTGTGATATAGCGAAACACTCTCTGAAACTGTGGATGATTTTATATATATATATATATATATATATATATATATATATATATATATATATTTTACAACAACCAGAGGCAGAGGTGATTATACTTTAAATAATTATTCAAATACGATTCTCTCTCGCTCTCTCTTTTCCATATATATATATATATATATATATATATATATATATATATATGTTTAAGCATGTTTCATTATATAGCCATATTATGTCTATTTATTTTGATAATAATCGTCTCTAGTTCTCTAATCAGTTTTTCCTATTCAAGTACTTTCGATCTCCTTCGAGATCATTCTCAGGTGTGAATTGCAAAGATAAACTTATTTTCATTTG